TCTGAGTGTGACAAGCGATCAGCTGTAATAGCTTTGCTGTGAATGCTTGCACTGCTGTCAACTATTATCTATTCTAGCTGTGCCTCGTAGCACTTCTTGCAAAAGACATCATTCTATGCTATTGTCATGTTCTTACTCCTTGGAACTGCTGAGACCGTTTCATAGTGGGAACACTTCATCTGTGCCTGTTTGTCCATAACTGTCTTACATGTGCTGCAATGCCGCCTATATTGGCTCGGCGTGCACTTTTGAGCTTGTCCGCTACGTTCCGTTTCATACACTTCTGTAGTAACGCAATGAAGATTCTCATTGACACTCCTTTACACAGCCAGCGTATGTGGATATTAGTCTGTAGGTGGCTGCAATTTGGGTTTTTGTCTTTCGCCGTTCACTTTTTTACCAAAATATTCCAATATTCTGCATTTGTTGTATGTGTGCACTGGTGTCCAGACGAGTTGCTTGGCGTAACTCGCAGACAGGAATGCATACACGCCCAGGGTGTAGCTGAGTGGCATTATTACACCGTCCTGATGTGTTCATTTGGAGTGCTACATGTTTCCAGCTGTCCTCCATATACATGTAAATAGCGAGAAAAACAGAGGTTAGAAAATTGGTCGTTGTGGTGTTATTTGGTCTTGGACACCGGCGAGAGACCACATACTAAAAGACTAAGGCTTGTTCTTCTGGATGTTGTAGTGGGTGTTACTACGCGTCCCTGGAATACTTGACGGCACTAAGCTGAAGTCCTGCGTAAAGAAAAATTCAAATTTCGACAGTCGGAGAAGACGTGATGCTGCATGGGACAGAAGCACGCCGCGAGAAAACGTTCGAAACTGAGGATAGAAGTTTGCCTTATCCGGCGATGGACGGCGTGTCAGGTCTGAACTCGAACGAAAAAGGGCCTTGTAGGGCCCACCTTGCAATGACTAGAAACTAACAATTCTCAAGAAATAGCTCAAAAAGTTCAAAGTCCACTGACTCTGGAAAATAAAAAACACGGATAGAGTGCGATATTTTGAATCTGGCGCACGGACTGCGACGAGACCACACGACGCTTGCAGATCACAGCACGAACAGTTCACCAGCCACACTCCACGAAAGCAAGTAGTAGTACTTGACTGCATGGTTGGCGTCTAACGTCAGGAGTACTACTACTTGCTTTCGTGGAGTGTGGCTGGTGAACTGTTCGTGTTGTGATCTGCAAGCGTCGTGTGGTCTAGTCGGGTCAAATGAAAAACCTATTACTACTGTATTTGACGGACCTATTGAAGATGGCAACAAAGAATTAATATTTGGTAGGTTATCGGCGATTCTCAAAGGAACCCTCCAAAATCGGCGAAAGGCTTTGCAATTTTTCGATAAGTCTCTTTTCCGGCGAATTTTCCCCGCCAGCTGCTTTCGGGAAAGCGGCAGAACATGTGGCAACATTTGGAATGTTTCACACTGCTTGGGATGTTGATCGAGTAATGGAGCAGAATTCAGCGAGGCGCCTGCTACATGTACATGTGTAAGGTCTGGATGGTTCTGCAATTTTTACCTTTTTTGAACTGATTCTGCAAATTGTATGAGCATTATCGACCAAGGGCTACCATCCGATGCCTACAGTCCTTTTATGGGTGCGTGACCTGTGGATTCCTGGCCATTCGAAAGCATCCGCGCAGCATGCTGTCTGATGTCCCAGAATCTCAATTCAACACATCCTTCCTAGAGCCTTAACTCAACACATCCGCCGTCCTTAGCCTTTCAGAAGCCTTTTTGCCACAGGTCCAGGATGCGAATTTCCACGGCCTGGGTACATATCAAGTCAATCTCCTATTATTTTGATTTCACAACTGTAGGAACGTAAGATCCTCCTAGCAGCAAGTCGTCCGTATTAGACAGTTTTTCTTCGAGTTGAGTATACCTATTACATGTGCGCGGTGAAACGCTCTTTTCCTCTCACCGTTATCAGATGGATGATGATTCACTGACTTGGCAGTTCAAAGGACTTCAGTCAGGATAAGAGGCCCGGTGTGGCGAGATTAGCTCAACTAGAACCGACTCTTTTTGATCTCACTTGCTTCGACAGTAGCGATAGACGCTCACATCAGGGTGAGAAGAGGTTTGCGATTGGCCAGGACATGGTATGAAATTTAGCACCAATGAATATGACGAGTTTGGATGAATACGTTCATGGTGTTTCTTTCCCGGACCATGTCGAGGTAGTTGACTGTACAGGTAGTCGACTGGAGCGAAATGGGAACGAGTTTGGTTTACAGGGATGCGAATTGATAGCCCTCGGTTTGAAAAAGGAGGATATGTTGGAGATTCACGATGAGGCAAGCAAGATCGAGCTTGCCACAACCGGCTTTGAGAAAACCCAGCAGTTTAGTATTCTCTCACCCGAACCACGTTTCGACGGTGTTACATTCGGAGGCGTTGAGGATATCCTGACCTTGGCTGAGACTGATCGACCAGTGTACGTCATGGCAAAAAATGGATGGATGTCCAACAGAGACGATTGTTCTGTGTATGATGGTGATGTTTTCCGAGTTGGAACTCGAATAAGCAAGACTTCAACCGGAGAGCTATGCGTTACATGGGAGCGATGCTATTTCACGACCAGCGATGCACCTATGCAGTGGAGTGTTCTCCATAAGGCCGAGTCGCGTCAAACTCAGTTAGTGTTTTCTGCTCGCTGTGGTTTCATGGCAAGCGCCGAACACACATCTTACACTGTGCTTGCATTGGAAGAGCTCGTACGCAACAAGAAACTCAGGTTCCCCGTGCGACTGCAGGAGATACACACAAACCAGGGTAGCACAGTGCGTGGAAAAAAGTACTGTCTCAAAGGTACCAAGACGGTGGAATGGCTACTTGCTCTGTGCCACGAACCCAACACCTCTCATGGTTACACGCCAGTGAGGATAAAGATGTCAACAGCGCTCAGTCGAGGTGTCAAAGTTTGCAGACCCAGGCAGTCGGATCCGAGCAAACTCCAACGTTCCCTCCAAACTTACATTCTGCAATCTGCGGACCTGAAGTCCGTTGAGGAGATAAGAGTTTGCGCTGAAACAACGGCGAGACTATCTCTTCCGCCACCTTCGCCAGTGCCTAGTCGTGGTCAATCACCGATACTCTGGGAAGAGTACGAGCAGCTACACACCACGAGAGCTAATAACAATCCAACACATATCGATCACGGCAGACGATCTCTACCGGCACGGCCAAACGCTATTGCGTTGCGCCGTAAGTCTTTACCCGGTCCTCAGCAGAGCACAACCGAATCAGATCCCTACCTGGTTCTCAGGCCTCGTACGGATGGCAGACTGAAAGCTGACCCGACCCTTGGCGTCTCCACCTCACCGCAGCGTAATATGAGCAGAGTCTCCCAGCAACTTCCAGTTCCTGCTTCTGCAGCTGAGGAGTATCCCTCTCAGATTCCACCGAAATTACCTCCACGCTCACCTACCCTGTCAAAAAGCCGTAAAGCAGGTGCACCCTCATCACCTTGGGGCTGAGTTCGCGGACGCATGAGCAAATGGCAAGCAGCAAAAATGGTCATCAAAACGTTCAAAAGCCCCTGTTATTTACAGTACATGGATACTCTTTTCACCCAAATTATCGATAATATTTATTTCACTTTGCACGTGTAATATCTTTCCTGATATAATTATATTTACACGGTAACACCTGGTGTAAGCGACCTCTGGGTTTAGCGACCACCTGATCTTACCGACCGTTCTTCCATGCACGGACAGTTCTAAACAGACACTGTGCGACCGTATTCTAAAGATCACCTGGCTTTAACGACCTCTTCTGCTTGCACCGTGGGGTGTTCGCTTAAACCAGGTTTTTACTGTACATGCGTTTTCATGTCGAATTTGTCAGTGAACACACACGACAGCCATATGTCACGTCAAGGAAGGATGTTTCTTGAACAAGATAGAGAGAGGGAGAATGAGAGAAAGACAAATGAAAGAGGAAGAGAGACGGGGAGAGAGAAGCATCTCATGAAAAGCCCACAAATTCACGGTTACCTAATGCTGGTTTAACAGTTTGCTGTCGAATTTCTTCTTTGGTTATCTCAGAAAATATAAGCGCTGGAGATGCTAACAAACACCCTGACAACTCACTAAATGCAAATTTCTCTCACTTCATGGCCACTATTGTTGTGGAATGTACTGGCCGCTCTAAGTCATATTGTATCTAAGTCAAGCTATACAAAGACAATACCCAGATCAGGAATCATCCTTCACGCTTGCCCTGGCACTTCATTGGAGGTGACCATTATGTTGATCTACCTTTAATTTAAAGAGTCATCACAGGTGAATACACTTAACTAGTGGAATTGCCTCTGAACCTGCAGAGAGCCTTGACAGAATTGTATTACGACTAGTTGTCTGACTCTTGCATCAATCTTAGAATGGCTCTACTGTGACCTACTGATCATCGTCTATCCACCACTCACATAACGGCCATAGACGTTACGTACATCAGGGGATATATCACATGATTAAAAGGCCCATGGGTGGAGGTTCTGAGATGAAGTTTCCAAAATGCGGCATCTAAGACGGCAATGGGGACGGTGATGGTAGATCTACCCTCGTTTTGAATAGATGATTGGTTTTCTCATTGTAGTATACTGAACAAGAACGCATATCCAGCTCGTGTTGGAGATCACATGATGCAGACAGTACAGTTCTCCAAGATCCAGTCTCGCCTAAACATACGGTAGCGTAGTGGCTATTCTGCAGTCACTCATGCTGGCATGCAGAACACTCACCATAGAATTTTAGATTTCCAGTGTAAATCAATGAACCTGTCTAGTTCATGACCAACTAAGGAGGTAAGAATGATTAGTTCATGGATATGGTGTACAATTCAATGTTTTACACGGCATGGGACTCTGTCCCCCCCCCCCCCCAACAGACGAAATGAGCCAACGCCATGAGCATGACGACACGGAGGAGGGAGTTTGAAAAAAATTCTGGTACGAACATGTACATGTTAGATGAAAAGAAAGATTAACTTGGAAATACCGAGTAGAAAAACATGAAATTCCAAATGCCTATCGTTCTGTTGACACCGCCAATATGGAAGATTGTTCTTCCGAATCACATCCAGGTGGTAATAAAGATCGGGAGAACCGCCCAAGCACATAATGCATGATCGTAGCAATGAATATATTCAATTAATCTTTTCGTAAAAAGAAAGGATCCACTACGGATATCAGTACAAATAGCGAATAGGCGATTGCCTGAAGCTTGAAGTAATCCACTACAGAATGTGTGTTGCAATATGCAGACAAATGGAGAAGATCTACATGGCAACATGTTGTCATTCAATGTTAGTACAGAAGACCGGATACTCATCCATTCCTGTCTTCATAGGTATGATTGCCTTAGTACCAAGAATGCATGCCTAAGCTTTTCTTGCATTGCTTCTGAAGTTGACGAAAGATGTGCTTGAACGTGTATGATACTTCTGCGTGGAGATTTTCATGTGACCGCTGAGAGACCAGAATGGGGGAGTGCTTACTACTACGACAAAAGTAGAGGCTAATTTACAGCAAATACAGTTTCTCGTGTTGTTCAAGATCTATCAGGTGCATGGTCACACAACATAATTTAGAGGCGACCCTCTTGTTGATCACGTATGTTATCAACTAAGAGTGGGTCTCTGATGTCGCCTATCAAGTTGGCCAAGGCTGTTTCGTCCAGATGTGATTCGTTTCTCTCCCGTCTACGTTCCTCTTGCCGACGCCGCCACATGAGGCGAGCGGAGAGGGTCCTGAATCTTCCGTAGCCTCCCTCCTTTGCTAGGCATTGTCGGTAGAGGAGTGCTGTCAGAACCAACGCAGTGGGCGTAAGGAAGAGTGCCCCACTGACCCATAGCACATAGTTTTCGGTCATCTGCGACTCGTACATGACACTGTAGAGTACCGAGATACAGATGGAAATGCAGAGCATGAACGACTCCCATGTGTTGTAGCCAACACCCGCAAAATCACCCTTCCGAAGAGGTCTGAACAAGGAAGCAGAAAGACCACACAAACTGAAAGTATAAAGTCATGCAGCAGAAAGATGATATAATCCGCTTGATCTTTTCCATAATCTAGCACATCTACATAATTGCACGCAGACACTTGTTTGGTTGCCACATGGAATGACAAGCGCCTGTTGCCCATGAACCCAAGAACAGCCATTACACGAAAACATAATGGCCATTAAGCAGGATTTATCGTCCACTCCACACTCGCGGAGGGTACAGGATCTATTTTCCTGTCGGTGTACCCAGCTAGTAATGCGACAGAGACCCATGGTCGAGTAATCTGGTCGGATCTCATCTCCGCTACCGTTCTTCACTATAATATAGTGAAGAACTTTATTCATTATGGTTGAAGGCTGTGCAAAATATTCATTAGTTTGTGGGGAAGTTGGAAATAGGGAACGGTCTGAAGAAAACCTTGACTCGAACCAGGGACCCTCGCTTATGACAAGCGATCCCGAACCACTAAACTAAGGTGTACTTGACACCCAAGCAGCAACAGTTCACCATTTGCCTTGTAACACGGATCGAAGAAGACAGAAATGAACGTACCGAACTGTGCTATGCACCATCAGAAGTAGCAGAAGGAATCCAGATGTCACCAAGAGTCTGGAAACCGCGCTCGAAAACGGTAGTGATCCAAGCAGGCCAATGGCAATACGCCTCAACAGGTTCACAGCTGACCACCAGCGGCACTCATCAGTGTACATGCAGCACGCCTCGTCCACGAAACCCTTCAACATGATATGACCATGTGTGCGTCGAATGAGTAATAGCAACGGCGGTGGGATGATAACTATGGCCAGGATTGCGACTGCTGCCAAGACATAGCCTAGATGCGGTGACACATAGCAGTCTACGGAACCATCCATGGCAAGCACCTGCCTGTCGTTGATTTGCACACACCAGAACACACTGAGAGCTGTGAAGGTGAGCATAAAGTAGCTGTAGACCAGAACAAACCACATGACTCGCACTAGTTTCATGTGGGTCTGTAGTCTTGCCAATCGAGTTCCAAGGTAGTTGTACGATCGTGCAATGCGTATAGCCAGGAAGATGAGAAGAAGTGTGATTGGTTGGATGATGAGTAGAGTGCTGACTTGAAGTCGATTTAGGTCCTCTTTGAGACAGACGTGTCCGAGTCCGAAAGTCAACACGGTGTAGATGCTGCTGTAGACGAATGTAACTTCGTTCGGGAAGATGTACCAAGACGTCTGAATAAAAACCAAAAGAAGCAGAAATCATGGCATGCTCTAGTTTCAACATACATGTACTACGAGTTCCTTCCAAACACAGCACATCACTGATACCTTGCTTCATAACTTTCTTCATGTATGATCTTCCGATCTATTCTAGTCATCATGTGACCTTTCTTCTGGTTGGTAGTTTGTTACAGAATACGAAAACATATTCCGCTTTCATTCGTTAATCTTTGACCTGTGGTTTACTATTTGAAACCAAGAATGAGATTTTAAGTTGCATCATCGAACAAAATGCTGTCTGGTGCCTTCAATCAGGCTTCATGCGCTTGGTTTCTCTGATAGAAAAAATCCTGATTCAAAGGAAGTTGCGCCAACTGATATGCATGTACATGTAAATATCCTTTCATTATGTGCTAATAAAAAAATATGTATTTAAAAAACTTGTAATAACCAATATTACCTGCACGAAGAACAGCCAGCTATCAAGAACTGGTGAAAGGCCAACATTGAAGTAGAAGAGCAGGATGGATGTCAGGACTGTCATTACCACCATGGTTATGACGTATACCCATAGTGGAATAGATGACGTCATTGAGCAATCAACGCATTGCTGTAAAACGACACATAAGAAGCGAGTAGAATCAATCATGTACTATCGTCGCCAAACAAACCCGGACAATGCTGCACATGCACAATTGGCCGGATTGGTTCCTCGACGATTGTAGACGTCCAAGAGGAAGGCTTGTGAAAACATGCAAAGTGTTTCTCGCTTAGGGTTACCAAATATAAAGTATAAATATTAGGGGTGAAACAATTACACCGAATACTCGAGTACTCGCTCTGTTTTTTCAAAAATAATCATATCCGGAAAAATCAGAGTACTCGTTCATACATGGTACATGCATTTACCACAGAAATCTGCAGTTCCAGAGCAGCAGTGGTCAGATATTGATGTGCAGACTGTGTGGTGAACATTTGTTCACGAGTAGTGAGAGCCCAAATGACCCACCAACCAATATACCAGAGAAACATGACTTCCACTCGGTTCAATCAATGTTGTATCATGTAATTTTAAGGCCCTTGGTGTGCAATTTTTAGGAGGTGAAGATTACTCGAATACTCCAATATTCGATCGGAGAAAAACTGAGTACTCGAACTCTAGATCTCAGTGTCAGCTTTTCACCCTAAAATAAAATATCGAAGAAATGGCAGAGCCAGCTTTGTTTGCAACATACTGGGCAGAGAGCTGAACCTGAACGCATGATTGTCACAGTTTGTAGGCCATGTTACTATTCTTACCGCTAATGCTAGCTTCAGTCTTGTACCGGCTCTGCATTCTCCACACAAGATACCCGCGGCATTGCCAACACATGCTGGCGCTCCCGATCCATTGTAGAGCCACGCACCACTCTTGCAAAGTCCATTCGTGCACTGTGCAATGCCAAACGGGTAATCGACGAATGATCCATACGCCTGCGTCTCTTTGAGCGAGATGTTTGAAGTGTTACTCTCCGTTTCAAACACCACATCTTCACCAGTAGATTTCCAATCAAGAGGTTCCTTTTCTGAGCCGCGACGGCTATTGGTTGTGACGTTACCGGCCCAATAGCCTGGTTTCATGTGCACAAAGCGACCCTTGCTGCACTTCTGTATCGCCGTAGAGTTCATACAGTAGCAAACTTTAGTCAGTGGAGTCAGTGGCTGGTAGTCTATGGTAACCTGATTCACAATATACATAATTCAAGGAAACAAAATAACAATATTTTCATATTAATTCAAAAGACCCTCCTCGTTCACTCTCAGCCGGCACGTTGCTACCCTCGGTAACCATTTCACGCACCAAAAATTCCAAACAGCGAAGAGGATACGGGTTTTGATCCTACAACAAGTGCCTGTACAACTCCATCGGGGTGGGCTCAATGAGGGTGTGATAGAATGATACCGTTCTTAGAGTAGCAGGGACCATACTCTTGATGTGGGGGAAACATAAATACCGTAAGAATGGAATGGGTATTTTTCCAAGGGCTAGATAACTAAGTCAAAAAGGAATTATAACTCCCTTACGCACTCAACCACCAACACACACACAAACACGCATTTGGAACCAATTATATTCATTATCACTTTTCAATGCCTTACCGCTACATGAGGGCCGTAGAAGCCTCCAAAACAAGGTCGCAACTCAAATGGCACATCCAAGTAGAATCCATCTTTAGACTTCTTTTCTTTTGCAGTATCATCCAACAACCTGAAACGGAAATTTCCTCGTGCTCCTGCTTCGCCGCCAAGTGCTATGCCAGTGAGAGGCGAGCTTGATATGAAATACATCTCTTCCAGGTGCTCATACAGACCTCTATCTCTTGCTCCATACCGTAGCATGTAAACATTATCCTCACTGATAATCTACATAATTTGACAGCACAAAAATATAAAAGAATTCATCGAAAACCTCAATCTGCCGGTCCATAATATCAACGGCCCTTCATTGCATACTATAGAACGACACTGCAGCACGTCATATCATAAAGCATTGCAAACTTTATTTGGAGACAAAATCGTAAGATGGCAATGGAATTCGACCGAACCTCTACTAAGAGAAGCATAATGTCTCCTTAGTTATAGTAAAGTTAGTTTCTCTTGTAGTAATGGGAGCACAGGTCAAAACAGCGTTGAAAGACAAACTGTCGTGGAAGTGACGGACACAAGCAACTGTACAAAAGATCTTGCTACTTTTAAACCCTATTCCGTGTATATGCCGTATGTATGCCATCATAATAATCCGCAGTGCGCTGCTATAGCCTGGATGTTAGGTGGCCATATATTGCTTGTCAGAACTTTCAAATAGATGGAGCAGTAGGTGCTGTTCATGTGATGTTCTGCCAGTACATGCACTACAAAAAGGGGCCATGTGAAGCCTTTATAAGCGGGTAAGACGGTTTGAAATAGGACCGGTATCCGCAAAATTGTGTTGACCCAAACGGATCATCATCGTGGATAGTTCACTCAAAATATGTTTGTGGTAGGAAGCTGGCATGTTGAAGTTTGCTCTGATCGAACTGAGCCACTCCTTTGTGTAGGCCCGTCCCCTCCAAGTTGCCCGAATATACATTTCGAATGTTGGTGTCGCAGAGTTGGCTCCAAACAGGAATAGTTTTGTAGTGCACGTTAAGTTCACCCTGAGTTCTGAAATTAGGTAATTGCTAGTTTACTGCTATCGCTCCACGACGCCCAGTATACAGAAACTATAAGCTTTGTGTGTGTGCTTCCGGTAGTTTTTCATTGGTATACTTGCTTCATTGGCGAGAGGCGAGCAGCTTTTTAACTGCGAGAAGAAGTTGATTTTTGGAAAGACGTTCAACTCAAGTCGCAGTGCGAAGCAACACGTCAAAAACTCAAATGTTTGATATGGCGCTTCCGGTCATCGCAGAGCCATGTACTTCTGGCTCGTAGTAAAACAAATCGTAGTCTCACTGTGAAATTTTATGTTTTCTAATCTAAATACCAAGAGAGAAAGTGAGTATTGAGCCCGGGCCTTTTTGCAACGTATATCCTATTTGAAACCGTCTCCTCTTCTGGGTTTGCCGATTTCCTGTTACAGAATCTCTCCGCCCACACCCCCAATTTTCACAGTTCAGGAAAAGAAAAACAACCTACTAATCCTGCCAAACTAAAACTTACATGAACTTTCATTCGAGAACTAGTCGTAGACAGTAAGTCATCATAGGTGCGGATATTGACAGTAATATGCTCTCCTGGCGCTGGGTATAACGTAATACGTGAGAGGATCCGCCCAGATGCATTTCCCGCCGAAGAGTGCCAGTGAATGCCGCTAAAATGCGACCATGGTGCCAAGATAAGTGATCCAGAAATGATAACGTTGCTGAGGTCCCTAACGTTGTTGCCGCCCATTCGCTCGGCAACGAGTTGAAGTGCGCTGTCTGATTGCCCTGCAGACAATCTAAAGAGCAAAAGGTGTATAAACGTGTATAAATTCCGTGCTGTGTGAAAGGACTTCTGTGGTAAGCTGGAAAGTCTTTATTTGAACGACTTCGATATATTTTAGGTATTGAATAAATTCCCATGCTGTGTACTATTGCGTGTTTGCTCGAAAGATATTTGAGGGTGGGCTTAGTACGGACGAGAATGTTGCACCGGAACCGCACTTTGTTTAGATTCAATATTCGATATCCATAAAACGTAATAATTATTACCTTTTCATTATGTACGTTTCGTGTAACATTTCCATACTACACTGATTTCTCTTGTATAGCCAGATGTTACCGAGGTGCTTGTAGCACTCCGTACTTGATTGTCCCAGAAGAATCCAGGCGGTGCTGAGTTTTAACAGTTTGCCGAGCGCATTGTCCGGGTTATTTGCGGTGAAAATAGACCTGTTGCCAACAGCGCACTGGAGGAATTGATCCATGCCCCTGCCGACATTGGTCAGTTGAGTTGTATCAACCCAAGTTGCACCGAATGTAGCACAGGACCCATTACTTCTTGGATCCCTCTCGTAGCTCCTGGACGTGGATCGGTTTTCGAGGAGGACAATCGGATCGGCTTGGATGTAGCATTTATCACGGAAGTTCTCCTGGAGAGGAATAAGTATGCACACTAAGATAAGTTGTCGCAACTGGTATAAACAAGTATATCAACCTAACTATTGCCTTCAAAAAGATTCTGTTTACAAAAATAGTGCGTCTTCACAGAAATTGAACAAGACAGCAAGCATCAAGACGTACATGGCAGATATTATTATCGTCTTGTTTTGTAAAGAAAAACCACTTGAAGGTGTATGTAATTAATCACGCCGTTCAATTTAGACCACACTTTCGTGGCGTCTGTTGGTATTATGGCCTTTGTCTTACCGAAGGGCTGTGAATCTTCGGATCCAGTGAGCATTGTCCGATATCCCTGTACTGCTTACGAACGCTCACTCCGATATTGGACCATCCATAGGACACATTTTGCTTCACAAATTGCTGAAAATTCGCCTAGAGACATCATTATGGAGGCCACAGCAGAAAAAACGAACAGAAAAACATTGCTGTCATTGGCACTGGCAGGTCAAATATATTTTCTTGAGAATAGAATTTGCAAGCAGATCATACGGTGTTTTGGTAGAATACTTCTTCGGCACACTTTCCTTTATTGTAGACAATCTAATTCTCCATTCTTTTCCGCTTCACGCCTTGCTCAAGTCAGTTCATATTCATGGTGAAAAAGGAAGACAAAATGTTACGAGTTATGACTACCTCTCCACCAAGTAACCAGATCTTATACAGTCAGCGAGTGCGACAAAATAGCACAATTTTGACAAAGGAGTACTGAGACATTCGGCGACCTTACACCTAGCTCCAACACTTCTCCAAGGCGCAAACCAACAACCTTCCAACTTGGAAGGCTCAGGTTCTGAAAGGTCCAAGAGCTTTCCGAAACTGAGCCTTCCAAGTTGGAAGGTTGTTGGTTTGCCCCTTGGAGTAGTGTTGGAGCCAGGTGTCAGATCGCCGAATGTCTCAGTACTCCTTTGTTAGGTTTATGCCATTTTGGCGCACTCGCTGACTGTATAAGATCTGGTTAATTTGGTGGACAGATAGCCATAACTCGTAACATTTTGTCCTCCTTTTTCACCATAATTTAATTGGCTCGCCATCCGAGTTAAGCCTTTATTTATATTCTGCAATATTAGTAATTGCCCATGTCCATCAAAATCCGGTTCAGTATCACCGCATCTGACAAGCCTTTTGCAGGTGAAACAACTGCTAGGATAAATTTCACTGTCAGTACCAGAAGCCTCCTTTGTTGGATTGTCTGTTCAATGATTCTAAACCCTCATGTGAACGTAAGTTCTTGCCTTTTCAGCTCATGCATGGACAGATACTTACTGGACTAAGCCATACAATGCTGAGGCCACTTTGTCGAAATAACGTGCCAATATCCACGACAGTTGCTATTAAGCCGATGAGATTGAGTATGCCATTTTGAGAAACTACTGGCGCCCTAATGAAAGAGTTGCCTCTGCATAAGGAATGGGAAAGGGATGCAATGGGAAAAGATGAAATCCTTCACCGCATGAAATGTAAACACACGCCTGCCCACACACGCTCTCTAAGCTGCAAAGTTCTAGCACAGAGCTCTCCTTCTCACCACCACTCCCGTCAGTTCGCGCCTGGCGCCTAGTCGATGCCTGGTTGGCGGTATCCGACATAGCAGGCTGGTACATCAAGTAGCGCTTGGCATATAGAAGATGAAGCAGCAACGACATAGTTCGATTGCGACGTACGTCTCGTCCCCGCTGGACTCATCGGGCAATCTTCTTCGTGGATGTCTTCATACGGAGCTTGACTCGGGAGAAAGAAGTTGAAGACACCACTGCAGCTGTACTTATGGTATCATACTGCCAGTTGTGTCTTTACCACCATATTTATCAACCATAAGTACAGCTGCATTGGTGTCTTCAACTTCATTCTCATGAAATGTAAACTTGAAGTACATTGTACTATTTTTAAACCGCAATCAATAAATCGATCTGGATGAACATGTGTTTGATTATTCTTTTATTATTATTTTTTATCACAGTGCACATACCTACGGAAGAAGCGGAAAAAGAAATAAAAAACTACACTGGGTGTGTATCCGCTACATGAGCTGCGGCAGACCCTTCAGCACTCAACAATACGCTGAAGAAGACGCGCGTTCAAATTCAGGTCAAGAAACTTCGTTTTCAAGCGATCCATGCCTCCAGGTGGCAGGCGAAAAAGGCAAGCTAGCATTTTTCAAGTACACTGTAACGACCTGCCGGCGGGGTAGGGTGAGCAGTTCCACACCTTCTTTCCTTGGCAAGCGCTTCGCTGATTTTGTCGGTGTTTTCAGACCTGCTACCTTCGCAGTAACATGCGCCACAAGTAGCGCATTTTAGGAGTTTGACACAATTTGGTCTTGCCTTCGTCAACTTCAGCATTTCGTATTGAGGAGAAATACCAGGATTCTTATAACCGAGCTTTCAGTCTTGATAAATGCCCACTCGAACCATGTGGGACGGCACGAACTCCAGAAAACGAAATGCGCTCTGGGGCGGAATAGTGCGGAGCGCAATGAATTTGCTTGGTGTGGAAGAGAGCTCCGACAAAGTCCGAGACCACCGCGGCTTCAGTAACCAGTAGACAAGTAACAAGTAGACATTGCGCAGGAAGGGTCGCATCAGTGTTCGACCACAGAAAACAGCGATTCCGACAGTCGGACTAAGACGAGCAAAGTCACAAATATTGCGATGTGCGATGTGCGAGCGACAATTTTAACGACGCGGAGGAAGTATATGTATTATATTATTTATTTTCTTTCATTATGTCTCCATAAAATTACAGGTATTCCTCAAAAAAAAGAAACTAGATATGACACGTATTCAAATTGTCTGGTTTATGAGTTCTTGATTGGTTTAAGTTCTATTTCGGAAAACATGCATGGAGTCTGTTTACCCCAAGAAAACTACATGATAATCATAGGTGGTATATTGTTGATCACCTATGGCTTAGCTCTCCTCAATTCATTCTTACATGGATATTTAGGGACCAAATCCGAAACCTGAGATCATCTTCCACTTGAACAGCATAACGAGAGCCTTAGATAGCCAATGAGAAGGCATCCAGGCGTCTCATTTTCTTGGCGCAGCTCGATACCGACCTGGTGAATGCTCATTTTCAGTGTCGCGTGGACACATCTCGCTACCTTCTTGACGAAATCCAGGGAGCTGTGATAAAGCTTAGATTTTTAGAGCGTTAAGGACCTGATGCTGCACCAAGACAAGTCAGTCGCCCACTCTGAACACAAACAAGGTCAGGACCTTCCTTGCACATTACCATTTCATCGACGGTTGAGTATACTGCACAGTTCTGTACAATCTGTGATATATCGGAAGTCCAGGGGGAATCTTTTATTTCCGGCTATTGAATGGTCTACCAGAACTCCATAAGGGCCACTATGACCCAATATGTTCTGCAAACTATTTGGAGAATCAAAAATGCGTGTCCGGTTTCCGAATGGACCCAACCTTCGTGTTCATTTATCTAATCTGTTTTCAGAATAGTTGGCAAAATATCTAGTTCAATCTCTCTTGAAACAACACAGTTCTTGTATATTTGTCAAGTAAAAAGGCATCTGAGTGTGCCAACCCAACAATATTTCGTTTTTCCACATTTCATCACTTTTCGGCGACATCGGAAGTACTCAGTTGCAGATTTCATGTCACCTTCACGTCATACTCCAGTTTTCTACTGAAGAACGTAGTCTCTTTTCAGTAGCGATATACTAGAAGAGAAACACAAGAACAAAAACTCTAAAAATGTAATCTAAGCTCATAAATACTCAGTAAAATACGACTGGGAACGTATAGGAAAAGTCAGTATGGAATAATAAGGTTAAATGTACTATTTCCATTCAAGGAAAGACGCAAAAAAGGGGGTTGTGCTATTTTTGATATTTCATTTCTCGAAGTGATAACCCAAAGGCCACAGCCTATCGAACGTATCCGAACAACTTTACGATCTATTTAATCACCATACATATACATGTGTATTTACTTCAGAGGCAAGATAAGGGACCAGACTTACTCGATATGATTCCGACCGTACATGTCAACTTTGGCAGGTGGACCCACAGCTAAAATAATCGGTATACACTTCAGCGTCTGTGGATCCATCGAGCATTCGAAGTGACAATCACGGGTCTGAACAGTATTCATGTTAGTGACGCCCTTTTCATAAGCACCTGCCGGATCAAGCAAAGTAATTACAGATGATGAAGTATTCATACTTGGACACTTTCCCAGGATATTCGCTGCGCCCAACGAAACTCGATCCAAACGGATTACTACTGGTTTCCAAGTAAGTTTTAGTAATTCGTGCATTTCATGGTCATGTTTCTCCACGTGAATCCCAACAGAACATGCATTCGGACCGATGGTGTTTAGTTCAAAATTGCAATCCGTAACTGCAAATCGGACTCTGGAACTTGTTGAAATGGATATCGGGCTATGGAAGATGAGACTGCGTGCGATAACTGAATTAATCACCGTCACAAGAGTCACGTCGCTATCCCGCAATGGATATATCACCATCTTAATCATATTGCCCGAGGAGCAATTTGTGAACGTGCAGTTGGCAATCGTAATGTTGGTGTTCTGAGGACGGTTGGCGTATATAGAAAGTACAGCCTTGGGAGATTCTGTTCGGGCATGTTTCATGTTATCCAGTCTTATGGTGCTCATTCTCATGTTGCTCATTCGGCAGTTTTCCAATAGCGCATTCAATTTAGCTAAAGCTCCCAGTAAGACATGTACTGCCGAATCGGTGAGGAGGGGCGGTTTTCCGGATTCAGCTTCGTAAGCTGTGAATGAACAGTTTTGCACACGAAGGCTGATCTGGATATGCTTTCCTTTCCTGTCAGCTTGGAGGACGGCCAATCCCCCGTGTCCGTGATACAGTAGGAACTGACAGGATATAAACTCTATCTCGTTCGTACCCCGCGTGAACAGCATTATAAGGAATCCAGACTTCGATGGTGTCCCACGAGGACCGCTAAATAATATCGACGAGAAGTGCAGCGTACGCGCGAACTCCATATCTACAGAAATTAAGCCACCTCGAAGTGTCGTCATGTTGCAACCAAGAGTGTCGAGGGTTGATACCTTCAGACGTAGAACACATTGGCTGCTGAGATCTAATGCCGAATTTCCTAACTGCAATGTGCATCCAGTCTCCTCCGTTGGAACCAGAAAAATCTGAACGTTAACAGATTTCCTCAGCACACAGTTATCTGTAATTCCGTAGGTGACTGAGTAGGCGCCAACCCTCCGGAGAACTTGTATCCAGGCATCATGTACGGTCAAGCATGGTCGCAAAAGGTCAGCACCACATGACTCTGTAGGTCTAGTAACTGAAACTCCGCTTCTGTTGGAAACAAACACTGTGAACGGATTGTTTGAGGGCAAAAATGCTCGCTCCTCTTGAGACCAAGTTGCCGCCAATACCGCTGAATCAGCTGATCGAGAGAGCTGCTCACCATCGCCGAACACAGACGTTGCCACCAAAAGCAGCAGTGGGAATAATTTTGCCGGAGCGGCAGACATCGTTAGGACTACCATCCCTGCATTGGGGACCACCGAAATGCGGAAACAGAGGAGCAAAAAAACATTTTATCATTTCAACTCCATCAACCTTATGAATATCCTTTGAGGTGTAATTTCCGAAGCGGAACGAACACATGACACGATTAGCATGAACGTAAACAACCATTGCATTCTACAATAAGCGTAACAAAAGATCAGTTGTCATAATATCGAGGGACTAAAAATTGCAAATACCTCTGAAGTCAAAATTGAATGTGACCTACAGCACTCAGACCAGGGGCTTTCCCTACAGGTGCTCAAACCACTAAGCTATACCGCAATGGTCAGCCAAAGAGTGTTTCTCTTAAATACAACCATTGAAAACTCTTCGAAGTCTGCTAGAAATTTCTACGCCTATAGTCCATAAAATAGACTTTTCGTAGGGTGTTGCAAACTCCTGGTATGTTAGCTTGAGGGGAATTTACTTGACATAAGTTCGCCATTACGCGAAGAACAAAAAAATTCCTCTCAACGAACTTGCTAAGAAAGCATCACGGCGTATGCATGTGTTTGTGCTAAAGTACAGTGGAGAAATAGGTGCTCCGCGTGCACTTCAATCCAGCAGATGAGATATCCCAGTAGATCCGAGTTCGTACAAGTCTCAATAGTCATTGGTCCAATATCCACACCTTACATGTACATATATCTATTTCTCGCTATTCCACAGTTTCCACCAACTTGTGATGCTTCCTGGGCCCGGGAGCTCGAACATTACTGGCGCCACAAGAGTCACGCCAGCATTAAAAGTATTAAAGTGATGCTGTGCACCCAACGTAACATTCATGTCATTTGACCCTCAAAGCATCGCCAGTCACTGTCAACCATGGAATAATAAGAAAGAGATTAAGCTAGAGTG